AATTTTTATTGTTACAAAATTTTTCTCAACAAAAACACAAAAATTAGTAGAAGATTTCTTTTCGAAATTAGAACTGAATATAATTAAGGGACAAATTTGAGATTTTTTTTAACTTAGAAAATGACTTTATTCATAGGGTTGGAAATAATTGTATACCATGAAATCGCTGCAACATTTTGTGTATGGAAATTTAACTGTTTAGTTGACTTGAGGTCTGAATCAGAGACTCCTGAAATGTGAAACCAAGGGAAAGACCGAGACAAGGTAAAGACTCGCTCCTTGTAATTGAAATTGACATGTTATTAAAATATTATTCAATTTGGCGTTTGGGGCAAATTATATAGTTACCTTTCTATTGAACATATTTTTAGCGTAGACTCACCAATTGTAATTGAACTAGACATTTTATTGAAAATTATTATTCAATTTGATGATAGTGACGAGTTACATAGTTATTTTTCCATTGACTTAGGCAAAGTTTTCTTATTTGATGGGTGTATGTTTGGCGAATTTTTTACTACGAGTCTATTAAGGTGAGTCGTCTACGGGGTAAATAATGTTATAATATTAAGTGACTAAGAATATATATGGATGTATTGAAATGTGCCTTAAAATTCTTTGATGAAAATTTTTCATTTATGGAATTTTAACTGGTTAATTGACTTGGGGAAAGAATCGAGACTCCTAAGTGTGAAACCAAGGAAAGACCAAGACAAGGCAAAGACTTGCTCCTTGTAATTGAGTGTGACATTTTGCTAGAAGAACATATTCAAATTGTGTGTGTTTGTGACAATTTATATAGTTAATTTTCATTAATAGTGGTGAAAGTTTCACTTTTGTTGTATTTAAGTTAACCTTATGAGATAATATAAGATTCGTCGATGACATATTATGATTATCGTGATATTTTTATGTAACTAGAAATATAATTATGTGAATAAAATGTCAACAAGATACCTTGCGGACTTTTTATGATGTTTGTCTTTCTATGAAGAAGCAAGGCACAATGAAAAGTATCTTTTCAATTGCATTTAGTGATGGTTTAAGTCCTTTGTACAGAAAGGAGGTTACATAAGTCCACTAGATTACTTACATGGTAGGCCCCATGTCAGTGATGAAATAATGCCAAAAAATCACCCACCCACTCCATGTTGTGTATTGTCTTGTCATATTCTGTGTAAAGAACTTCTGCACATATAGCTCTATTGTTTAGTGAAACTCCAAGGGGAGACTCTTGACCAGTCGTAGCGTGGTGCACCAATTACACCCATGCACGTCATAAATACAGGCACTTTAGGACTATCTATTGCACTTGGAAAAATTGCATTTTAAGTCTCCATTAAATTTTGAGGCATCTTGATCACTACTTTGATGAAAACTTTGTTTCATTTTCCGTGTTTTCCGCGAAAACTTTTAAAACATTCAAAACATGAAAAAATAAGTGTTTAAATTAAATATTATATACATAAATTATTTGATAAATTGAAAAAAAAAATTTGAATAAAAATTTCAAAAAATAATAATCAAATTTTTATAAAAACAGTAATTCTTATGTTGGTCCAACTAAATTTATTATTTATTTTTGTTTTACTTTTGTAGGATTTATCAATATTTAAATGTATGTATTAGTTGATAATATATTAGCACAAAATGTTCTATTTTATTGAACAATCAAATTTTATGAATAAAACGATTTCTCAAAATTTGAAATCAAACATATTTTCTTATTCTCTGCTCTCATAAACAATTTTTAGAATAACAAATCAAATGTGTTCTAGTAATCTTCAAACAGATCTCAAAACTGAATACTGAAAATAAACTCAATTGAAAATTGAAACAGAAACCAAAAGGACCCCTAATTTCTAGAGCTTTTGGCATTTCAAGGCACGATTTTAGATTTCTCGAGGCCTATATAAACTAGAAAACTTTGATATTGCATTCTCTACGCTTTATAACACCACTTGAATTATCATATCTTCGAGATTGATTGAAGAATACAAAACTTCATCATCATTTAGGAGAAATCATAGAGAGAAGAAAGGAAGTAAAGAGAACTAGACATGAATGGATCACACTCTTGGGATTGAAGATTAAAGATATTCCTCTCATCTTTTTGTTCTTAAATTTGTCAAGTGATGTCTATGTCAAATTCTTGTTATCTTGATTCTTCATCATGTTTCTTGTGTAGGTTGTTTATTAATTAGAACATTGCTAATTAACTTGTACTCATATTTTAAATCAATATTTTAGGTTTTTCTTTATATAACTTATATTGGATATGAATTATTTTCATGTTTGTTAATAAATGTTTATTATATGATACTTGTTACAAGTAAATCGAGATGTTGCATTTATGAATATCCAATTAGGTGTGGATTTACACAAGTATTTTTTCACCACACAATACAAATTTAGGATTTCTCTAAGTGGTTTATTTTGGGCACGGAAAATTCTTGAGGTACATCAAACTTGGTACATAAGGGTGTCCCCCTCCTCACATGGAGGGGACCCACCATAGACCAATCCTTTTGGGCACTTCATAGGTGTTGTTTTCAAAGTGGGTTTCTCACATGGTTCATCAACCTAGTGGTTTGGAGTGAGGTTATTATCTACTTAGAGGCTGATCATTTTTATATTTTTCAATTTGTTGAGAACTCAAGTTTTGGGCATAAACTTAAATATTGTAATCTCTATTTCTTATAGTAAATTTGGTTGAATTTGCTTTGTGGTTATTTTCCCTTTACACTGAATGGTTTTTTTACATAAAATTTGGCGTTGCGTTATCTTGTGTTGCATTCTTTTGATATTTCTTATTTACTAGTTTGCTCATATTTGCTTAGTGTTGTACTATAATTTTTCAGTAGAGTTGAAATCGCCCAACGTGTTTCCTTTGTAAAGATCCCGCAAATGCAATCTTCCATTTAATTAGTACTACATAAAGGCAAAAGTATGATATACTCGTGTAGAGTTTTCAATTACATTTTTTATCATAAAAAAATCATAAATTTTGACAAGAAAATGATCCATTTAACTTATGTTTTCGGATAAACAATAATTTGATTTATGAATTTCTTTATTTGCGATATAATAATAAGCTCAAAAAATTAAGTAGATTTTATTGATTATCTGTCGAATTAGCTAGTTCCACTCCTGTAGCACTTACAGTACAAGTTCTAACCTCCTATCACATCAGACTAAAGCAATGGCTGCTACTGCTTTTGCTGAAGTGAGAGTCTGGTCTGACTTAGCAGAGGAACTTAAGAAAGATATTGAGACACCAACCCTAGATAGCTAGCCTAGACATACCTTTTAATTGCTAACATGTTCACTAATTGGCTGATTCTATCATTCTAGTTCTGTCATTGTGACTCTAACTCTCTAGCCTAACTATTTGCTCTTTAATATTAAAAATGGGGAATGGTAGATTTTAAGGAGTGACGGTGAAATTGTGATAACAAAAACGTGCGAAGGTTGCTTGAGTTAGGAGGAGCTGTGTATTATATGTAAGAATTAACTGAGGGGGAATAGTTCATGTATTTTATTTTGCAAACACTCTATACATATTCACAATAGCGACATTAAAAAATTCAAAAGATGTTTTTGAATTCACGCTAAGTCAAATGGGGAGATTATAATTATTTTTAAATGTCAAAATATATTAAAAAAACATGTTCAACCGGAGAAATCCAAACAGGTAAGCCAATTAGGATTGACTAAGTACTATAAGTTTGAACAGGTAAGCCAAAATTGTCCTGACTAACAGATTCTTGGTGCAATCTTTACTTACCTTATAGTAGCATATACAGGAATACTTTTCTTTATTGACTATATCAAACATATTCTGTATATATGCAGAAATATATATTTACCTCATTAAACTAGTTTGATTGGTCAAGTAATTAAAAGAATGAAAGATTATTTTAACTAATAAAACCTATCTTAATTTAATTATTAACTATATCAAATATATTCCATATTATTCTTACCATGCAACATTTTCACATTTTAGGTAAGACACGTTCGTGTTTGGAGAAGTTTCTACATAAGTAGAGAAAACGATTAAGGAACAAACCAATGCTTCAAGAAAAATCTGTCTATGTCTGACGAACCTACAACAACATGTGCTGAAGTCTTCTGACCATCTTTAGTGAATTTCGACTGACAGATATTCCATTTAAGTATCTTGAAGCAAAATTCATGTTCTTCAACCGTAATTGAATAGAATACACTTGAATGTGAATTATATAATCTTACGCAAAGATCAGATTACTTTGCATGAGTTAAGATTGGTAAATCTTAATCCAAATGGTGGTTGTGGTCGAATACAATAGTGAAGCGTCGATAAAATCAAGATCGGAGGGTTTGATTCCACTTCTCCAATAAGTTAAAAGGAATAAGATAATGAGGGAGTTATTCTTTATGTGCTTTTGATTGTTTTAGTTATTTTTGCGAAATTACTAAATTGAAACTATTGTATTTTTTATTCTTTGATAGTGAATTATTTTACCCGTGGCATGGAGGTCCGTGAATGTTTCTCTAAGAGGTTACAATGTTATATTTGGTGTTCATTTTTATTTAGTTACGCAATAGATTATATCTTGTAGAGCACAAACTTGTTAAGTTATTCCAATCAGAATTGACAGTAAAAACTGCTTGTAGAAAGTTTTGACTAACTACATATATTGGCTAAAACGAATAACTATGACAAATTGTTTAATTAACTAGGTTTTAGTACTCACAAAAGTATGTCATATTTGTGCAGAGTTTTTTATTGCTTTTTTTTTTTTTTTTAAATTAGAAAAGATTGCATAAAATTTTTGACAAGAAAATGGTCCATTTGACTTATGTTTTCGGATAAACAACAACTTGATTTATAAATTTCCATGTATGCGATAAAAAATAAGTTCAAAGATCAGTATAGATAAATAAATGAACACCTATCATTTGCTGGATTTCATAAATTCTCAAAAACAAGAATCAACAAAAACACCAGGAAAACATTGGACATAAAAACATAATTTTATTTGTGTTAATGCATTAATTAAACACGAGAAAGCGACACCAAATACATAACAAAATAAGCTCAAACAAAGTGATGAACTACCCCCAATGGAGCTTTAACTTATTATAACACACTAGAACATCAGTAATTATAGTAATATTTTTTAAGGGTCTTGATTTTTAGGGACACTTCATGGTGGAGTGGTAATACCTGCAAGAATAAACATATGTTGTAAGTTATTTATAGCAATAATCTAAGCCACTGACGACAAGTCATCATGATTAAAAATGAAGAGAGAGTGTGTTTGTGGGTGTGTGAGAGTGAGAAACCTACTTCCACACTTGTAGTTGCGAGGAACAGATCTCCCACACCCTTCAATCAGTTGCACAACACGGGATACTCCGATGGTTCTAATTGTTGCTGCCGCTTTAGGGCCAAGATAAGGACAAACACATTCAATATGAGCATCCCTTACGTTCTGACAACATGCAGCTGATGGATTACTCCCAAAAATAACTGGCCTGCAATTATTAACCAGAGTATTCTTTTCATCCTTACATTCACTCGGAGTTACGCCGTGTGCCATTGGAACCACCCAACCGCCACCAACCATAGTAACCAAAATTAGCATCCCTACCCATTTCCCATACATTTCCACACCTTTTTACAGTGAATTCTTAGCTTCTTTTTCTATTTCTGTTGCATCTAAGATGAAACTAAGATCCTTTATATAGAGGAGAGCATAGTTGCAGTTGCCGTGTTGAATGTTCCACCGCGACCTAAATACATATACTTTCGTTTTCTTATTTATGTAACATCTTTTGTAGTCGTTTTCCAAAATAATTATTTTATTTTTAGTTCATTTGATTTGGTTCATTTTTAATTTCTCCGGAGGAAAATTTTTTAGGGTAAATATATTCAAATTATTCTTTTTGTTAACTGCAATATCACATTTAAATTACATCGAGGTACCCCCCCCCCACCCAATTTTTGCACTATTTTCTTCTATTTTCTATTCGTCACATTTTTATCTTTAAATGATGTCCAAATATTATCTTAACGTGGGAAACGTATTTTGTTGAACTTATGTCTTTATTGTTTATCTTGCTTATTTAAAGACAAAATAAATTTTTCTACTCCTTCCTAACGAAAATTTTGACGGTCATCAAGGACAATATGTGCTACTGAAAATGAAGTTGAAATTAAAATAATGAGAAAAGAAGTTAGGAACATAAACGTAAAAATAAACAAAAATTAGTAACCTTAATTATAATTTTGAAAAGTTGTAGCTAACAAAAATTGATTGTGAATATATTTACCCAAAAATTTATTCATCTATTTGTATTTATTTTATTTAATATAACAAAAAATTTTTTTAAAAATTTTCTCAAAAAAAAAAAAAAAAAAACGACAAATTAGTAGAAGATTTACTTTTAGCAATTACAAATGAATGTAACTGAGACAAAGATTTGATATTTGTTTAAGTTTCCAGTCTATGGATCATGGAAAAAAAAAGGGACTTTACTAATAGGATTGCAAATAATTGTATAAGTAGAGATATTCAATATATTATTAAATTAATAAATGAAAAAATCACCAAAGTTTTTGTGAAATTTTGTTCGAAACCAAAGGAATAGACAAATGAAATTAAAAGATTGGACATATAGTCATTAATTTGCCAGCTAAGATAAAGGCTTATGGGAATGTCCGAATAGATACCATGAAATTTCCATAACATTTTTTATTTATTCAAATTTAAACGATTAATTGACTAGAGGTCTGAATCTTAGTGTGAAACCAAGGGATAGATCAAGACAAGGCAAAGACTCGCTCCTTATAATTGAAATTGAAATGTTAATAAAATATTATTTATTTGGGTGTTTGTGACAAGTTAAATATATATATAAAGAGATTAAATTCATCTTGCTTCTCTACAAAAGAAAGAATCCCCATGTATGAAAAAGAGATTAATATATCTTGTTTAATTACAGTCTTATCTATTTTATATAGTGAAGATCCAAGATGTGACTCTAGGCTTTTCTTAGGGTAATACACCCACTTTGCCCGTGAACGTAACAAATATACTTGGGCACTTTAGGACAAGAGATAACAAAGTCCCCCAATTGTAAGTGAATCCAAATGCACGAAACATGGTTGATTAGACGATATTATGAAATAATAATTTCTATTATTATGTTATCCTAATTTGTTCAATTTATTGTATCAAAGACGTGAGAAGAGTAGTGATATAGAAATTTACAATCAAAATCCCACTTAATTTAATCAAATGACCATTAATTTTTTTTTCCTATTTTTTTTTTTTTTTTACTTCTTGTGACATAACATAACCAGAATCAAATTGGATTTACCACTTCCTCTCCAAATTTTTCGATCGTGGTTTAATCTAAGCAGTTCTTGGCGGCTTTTTGCATTTAGGGTTTCAATTATATTAGTAAATTTCCATTTTAAATCGTTATTTTTGTTATAAAAAATGTATTTCAATAATTGGGGTGCCAAAATTCTTAGTAAACCATCTTTCTTCTTTGTAGCATCAAGCAGCCGTACGTCACCAGAACCACCCTCCATAGAAATCAATCTTTTCCCAAACATATTTTGAAACCCAGGAATTAAATGAACCTGACTTTGTTTCTAATTTGACCCATTGAAGAATGGAGAAAATTGGAGTAGACACATTGAATAAAGACTTTTGTTTTCTTATTTAATTAACTTTGGTAAAGCTTTCATATGGAATTGTCAAACTAAAATAAAAATGTAACTTAAGTAGTAATCAAAGTAAAACAAGTTGAAGATGGTGACCTGCATCGAAACTCTATTAGTTAAGCCGAAAAGTTATTGATCTAAAAATTAAATTTAAGACTTATATTATCGAAAAATTAGTTCCGCTTAATAAATTATTTTTCAAATTTCATTTTACAAATAAAAACCTTCGAATGATTAGGCCTTGTTTGAACTCTTTGTCAGGTGTTCGGAAAAAGAAGTTCACTACCTAAATTTGAAAATTACTTTTTCCTTGTGTGATATGTATCGGTTGATTCTTTACTAACATTCATTTTGTATTTGTCATAATAAAGCATCTTCGTTTGTTAATAAAGTAATTTTTAATGATTTTGTAAATTAATCAAACATGTATGAGTTTAATTCCATTTTATTAATATGGTTATGAAAGGGCGATTAGTTTCATCGAATGCTTTTTTTGTTTATAACAGTGGGGATAAAAATGTATGATTGTTATTAAGGGCCCGTTTGGTAGGGATTTTGAGAATTGATTTTTTGATCGTTAGAAGAAAAGTGGGGTCGACATGTGAGAGAAGAAATCAAAAATTACGACTTGAATAGTAAAATAACGATAAAAAAATCAATTTTTTGGGGCAAAAAATCCCTACCAAACGGGGCAATGAACATGTATAGTCTCAAAACAAAGAATAATAAACTTAAAATTGTTTTACATAATCAAATTAAATAAAAATATTAAACCGATTTTCGTTTGAGTGCAAATTACTAATTATGAATTAGACCATAGGTAAATTACACTAAAAAAAAAAAAAAA